GAAATTGTAGTATAAATTGTAGAGGAAGATGATTCTGGAGACGTTGGTCCCGAAGTTGAGGACGTTGAAGATGGATAAGCCGATGAAATTGACTAGAAGATTAATCAGTCGGTAATTGTTTTGGCAAGAATTCGTGGGAAGTTGAGAGATTAAGGCTATTTTAGAAAAAAAAAGTGAGGAGGGGGGGGGAGGCGGAAAGACAAAATGTGAAAATTCATAGGGTACATGAAACAGAAATGAATGTGGAAGGGTGCGAGATTTGTAACTTGATTAAACTTACCCGATGATGAGGCTGGGGCTGATGAAGTGGGAGCTGAGGAATGCGAAGAAGAAGGACGAGACCGGGAGCTGATGAGTAGGAGGAAGATGAGGCAGGAGGTGGGGAATAGGAGGACGACGATGAAACTGGAGCCGATGAATATGAAGGGGAAGAGGAGGCCGGAGCTGATGAGTAAGAAGAGGAAGATGTAGCTGGTGGTGAGGAATATGAAGAGGAAGATGACGCAGGAGCTGGGGAATAAGACAAAGAGGATGAAGTGGGAGCTGATGAGTATGAAGACGATGAAACTGGAGCCGATGAGACCGGAGCTGATGGATAGGAGGATGAGGATGAGGCAGGAGCTGATGAATAAGAAGAGGAAGATGTAGTTGGCGGTGAGGAATAAGAAGATGAGGAAGAGGCTGGAGATGAGGAATATGAAGACGATGAAACTGGAGCCGATGAGACCGGAGCTGATGGATAGGAGGATGAGGATGAGGCCGGAGCTGATGAGTAAGAAGAGGAAGATGTAGTTGGCGGTGAGGAATAAGAAGATGAGGAAGAGGCTGGAGATGAGGAATATGAAGAGGAAGATGAAGCAGGAGCTGATGGATAAGAAGAAGATGATGTGGGAGCTGAGGAGACAGGAGCTGAAGAATATGACGAGGAAGATGTAGTTGGAGGTGAGGAATATGACGAGGAAGATGAGACAGGGGCTGAGGAATATGGCGAAGAAGATGCCGGAGCCGAAGAATAGGGAGGCGGCGTATAAGGTGGAGGTGAATATGGTGGTGGCGAGTAATATGTAGTTGAAGCGGCCGCAGTTGAAATAGTATCACTCGACGAAGAAGAAGAAGAATAGCTCGAACTGGATGAACTCAACGTCGAAGTAATCGTCGTTTGAATAGTTGAAGAAGCCGGGGAAGAAGCAGAAGTCGAAGTAGATGAATAAGAACTCGTTGAAAAAGATGATACTACTGGACCACCTGGATTACCATTGCAAGGATCCGTCGATAACAAATCTTCCGCGATGTATAGGTAAATATTAGCAGCGCCGCCGCATAATTCTGTCGTGTTCCCATTGCATGTCATTTGACAATTTGACTCGTCTACTTTGATAGTTCCATTACCAAGAACTACACCACAATAGCATTCTTGTGAGTATTCAACTCCTGCGAATGCATATCCCCCTTCTTTACATGCATGAAGACAGGCTTCAATTGTCAAATCGGCATTGGGAATTTGGTCTTGTTTCCAAGCGAGGGTGCGACCGTTGGGTCCAAGATCAGAATAACAACCCATTGGTGAGTAATCTGAAATGGTAGTGGTATCGACTGTGGGGAATGTGGTATCTTGATATACAGAGAGGATATCATAGCCTCCACAAGATTCATTCTTATTTCCAGTGCATGGGAATGAACAATTTGACTCTGCAGTTTGTGGGCCACCAACAGAGGCACCGCAAAAGCACTCGCCATAACTATGAGAAGGTTAGTTTTTTATATTTTCAATTAGGAGAAAATGACTAATTATTGTTCTTTCTGGGGTGGAAGGTACTTACTACTCCAATCCAGCATATTTATACCCATTACCTACAATCTATCAGTCATCCTTTCGCTCACGAAGGAATTGGAAGGGCATACCTTTGCAAAAATCGACGCAAATTTCAACTGTCATGTTTTGACTGTTAATATTGGTTCTAAACAGCAAAGCGCTTGGATTACTAGGATCTATGAAGCAACCCGCATAAACAAAATCTGTAGTATTTGTACATGTTGGAAGCTCTGGTGCCCATCTTTCAGCAAGAAGAGGACTAGCATTGGTCCTTAAAAGGAGTGTAGATATTGCCGCAGCAATAGAGAGTGAGCTAAAGCCCAACATCTCGGATGGCGGAAGTGTAATGACAGAAGGGAATATTTAACGACGAAAGATGCCTATCGGAATCAAAGTGGAATTACTTGAACTACTTTGAGCATGAAGGAGAATAGATAGTAGAGATGGGCTGCGACAATATATACATATCCGAATTCAGAGACTAGTAAGAAGTACAGCATTCATTGAAATAAACTGCGACTCTGGTGCTCATTTGTGGCAGCTACCCGTTTGTCGTGCAAATTATCCATGCAGTTATTGCTAGTATTGACCACAACATTTATTTGCAGATACAATCGCATGGTGCCTGCATGGTAACAACGAAATCCACAATGTTGGAAGCTATAGATAGTATGATAAAACAAAAATCTAGACAAGAAGAGAATAGCTATTTTCTAAATCCCGACCAATGTACACTTGCTCGGCTTTCCCGCTGGCCGAGAAAAATGCAGATATATTTCCTAGCTATAATAAGTATACATAACTCGGCAGGATTATCGTGAATTATCACGAGTGAAGAATGCGGATGACCTTAGAGCGCAGAGGCACGATAAAATTCTCTTCCTCATTTCATCTGTAGAACATCATTGAGCACATTTCTGATCTGATCAGTCTTCGGAGAGAATGGCGTCCTCAAAATACGGTTGACAAAGACAAACCGCCCATGACAAGTTGATGTATAGTTGCAATCCTTTGAAGTTATTATTGATCCTTTCTGAAAACTTATGGTATCGCCCAGAACGTTCAAGTAACATTAACCTATCTTTCCGGATTGACAAACCCCATTCTCTCTCATCCCTTTTTGTGGTTACCACATCCATTAATCAGGAACGCCAGCATAAGATGTCCGACTTGAGATGAAAACCTTGTCGTGAATGTTACCTTATGATGCTTAAAAATTTCTAGGTACGTTAACCTCCACTTGGAACTATTGAAATGAAGAAAGCTTTTGCGTATCTTTGTGCGGCTGTTAGAGAAGATAGTGGAAATTTGTGAGATTATATTTTGCCCTTTCTCATGTATGCTACCGTGGACACAGCAATAGCAGAGATCAATAGGAAATGACCGATGACTCTCTGGCCGAGGGGTAAGGGACTCGGAAGACCAAACTTTCGCATCATTTATTCCACCTGGGAATAAATACTTCGCTTGAAGATGCTGAACTTGTCCTTTACACTGTAGCTGCAGTGTTAAAATTTCGTGTAACTTCGTTGAACCATGCATGTCATCTTCTCCACACGCAAGGAAGGGTCTCATGCTGGTGCTGCTGTAGAACAGTTATTGCTACAGCGGTATCATTAACTTCGTATCCCAAACTTTTTCATTCGTTTTGGGACTCCGCTAAGTTTGTTATGGCCGTCAAGTGTAAATATTCTTATGCGGGTATTGCGTATTTCTTCTGCATCGTACGCCTTCACGATAAAGAGGGCTGAGTTTGTATGGATCGTGATCAAGCTATAAATATTGAAGTTTTCGTTTTAGCAAGATTCTGTGGCGGGGTAAGCGGAAAAGTTACGACCATGACGCCAAAAGAAGGGCTCCTTTGACACCTGAGATTTGATATCTATTTCTTCATGGTGGAAAGGCACGTAGAAATGATAGGTATAGCAGTCGAGTACTTTTCATGATCTTGAAGTTTGACTGCTTGACATTTATCTCTGGCCGGCCTTCGTGTTCCTTCATCTTGAGGATTCGTCTCGTGCTTTTGAAAGACATTGATCGTGAATTCGAAGGTATCTCAGCCATACACGTTCTTGTGCTCTTTCCCAGCAACTCGGACAATCGCGATCAAATTAAAATTGTGTGTTGAAAATCCTATCTGCTGGGGCTTTTGGAGGTACAAAATGCTTAAATCCAGCAAGGATGAAGCAGTTGTGACGATTGATTCATGAATGAAAGAGGTATCCTAGCCGGCAACCCGATGTTACATGACAGGTGCAGATGCGGGATGTAGGAGAAGCAATAGTCGAAGTATGTTGTAAGACTTAGCACGAAAGCAATAAAGCGTACCGGTAGGCGGAGCAATAGACATATACTCCTTGTATTGGTAGAATCTCCTTGTGACACGATAACCACAGAATACCTAGGTAATTGAATAATACTGGATAATTGGATTCTTGACCATAAAATGTAATGTTATGTCAAATGATGATTTCAATGGATTTGCCCCAGTATGTTAAGGTTCACCAGTTTCGCTTGTGTCACGGTGCAAAATGATCTGTGTCGCGCGGAGTAGTTGTCGGCCAATAAGCTCAACCTTAACCTTATCATGGATAATCTTAACCTTACCTTACCTTACTCCTCTGCCATCGCCAAAAATCAACAACCTCAATTTCATATGAGGTAGGTTCACCAAGGTTAATAGTGGTATTTGTTTATTATTTCTACTCAGCATCAACCTCCAACTTTCTTCTCCACAAACCATGTTTAGCCGTGGTCATAATCGTATCTGGATAACAGGAAAAGCTTAACATTGCGGAGTTTATCTTACAGTCATCTTCACTTACCTTATCTAATGTTCTAATCGAGTACACTGCTTCATTCCCACTCTTTACACGTGTCGTCTGGTAGTCTACGTCCGTAGTCACTGCAGTCAGCATTAACTAGCCATGCAGTCATTTAGTTAGCAAGGTTGAGAGCTTTCAGCTCAACGAAATAGAACTTACGAGCTTCCTATCTGAGCAGGCAACTAGGATGACAAAAAATCCGAAGTCGAAGGATAACCACCCACTATAAGTATCGATATTTTACTGCTATGGCCATGCTTCTCTCCGAGACCTAATTTTCTATCGTCGAGAAAAGTCTTCCATTCCATTTACGGCCATGCATCTCAGACCATTGACTAGGGATGATTTGCCTTACATCGCCGACATCGTAAGTGAAGCATATCGGGATGACCCTTTACAAAAGATTTTCTTTCCTCCAAAGGCAGTTGAAAATGGTTCACGGCGTCGGAAAAGCATGTTACGTATACGGAAACGCTTTGTTGAAGCCAATACACGTTGTATTGTCTCAGTGAGCGACGAAAACGATGAATTTTGGTCTGGAAAGCCTGAATTTCTTGGATTTTCAAATTGGACAAGAGTGGGCAAGAGCGAAGCAGCGACCAAGTGGCAAACTGACGGTTTATTTGCGAGTATGTTCTCACGAGATCTCCGAGTCGTCACCTAACTAATCATCAACATAGAATTGGAAAGAACATTAATAACAACGGAAATGTGGTATACCGAAAATTTCCTTGATCGCGACCTACCATGGGATAAGATACACCACGTGAGAAACTTGACCGCCGGTATATTTGGGTCAATTCCAGACTATTTAGAGTTGGCTGGATTAGCAGTAAGACCTGAGTTTCATCGTCGCGGTATTGGTGGAATGATGTTGAAATATGGAATTGATTTAGCTCAAGAGGAACAAGTTCCTATTTTGCTCCAAGCTTCTCCTGTGGGGACTCGCCTGTACACGAAATTTGGTTTTCAAGAAATAAGGAAAACAGAAGTGTTTCCAGAAGTGATAGTTGTGGCTATGCAATTGGATCCGAAGGACTGAATTCTTTCAAATCAATTTTCAAACAAATATCAAATCCGGACCAACGATTGCACATCCTGAGGACTCTCACAAGTAACGATTTGTCATTCAGCTGCCAGTGGGTTATTTTCCCTTCAAGATTGCAACAAAACCTGGAGGTATGACTATCCAACGGCAATTACGCCGATAGCATCAGGCGGAAGGCCCGATTATGCAAATCGTAAGTTGTAAACTCAAACTACAATTTATACTTTCAGAAATTCGTCACACAAGGTTGCGTGATTCCTTCTTTTAGTATCACGGAGACCTCATGCTTTGGTGTATCTTATAGTTTACTTCGAAGGTAAGAGTCACAAGACAATACTCTTAAGCACTCTTTCCATTCTTTCAGGTACTCTATATATCTTTCTCTAGCATTCGTCTCATTCTCACAATCATCATTCAACAATATTCAAAATGACTTCTTACATAAAAAAGCACTGCGAGTCGATCAGTCGCCGTGTCTCACAAGCTGCTCCTTCGAAAGCATCTTCTGAGAAGAAGTCATCTACCAAAAGACCCCCTTCTGGGACCTCGAACGTGGATGATATGACTCAATCAGATCAGAATGCCTCAAGTACAGGTGTTCCCAAAAAGGGTGCGTTTAATGACACATCATCTGAACCAGCTCTGTCTATTCTCAAAAAGGTACATACATTATCTATCGTGGCTCCAAAAGTCAAGGGATCTCAAAAAGAAGGAAGCTCGGGTTCAGCAGAATCAACCTTTGTCAATACACCTTCATCGAAAATCTCATCCACATCCCAATCATCCAATACTCTCCTTAACATAAACAGATCGAACAAAAATGGTCCAGATGAAAAATATCAAATAAACTCTCATCTTCTATTCGAAAACTCTTTCCCAGGCCATACATTCATCTCCGTGCATCTTCAACGCCTACAACATGGTATCTATTCTGATGCCAATTTACATACTAAACATACAATCCATGTAACATTTGTTGCTCTGAGTTTTATATTCCATCCTTCTACACCTGCACATCGATTTGAGAGTGCGGTTGTTGATATTAAAGTTAAGAACAAAGGGGGATACTTGAGATTCTTAAAATATGCACCGCATCAGACTTATGGAAAAATTAGCACGGAGAGTTTGAAGTGGAATTTCCAATTAGGAGCTAGTTTGGGAATTACGCAGGGTCCGGCAAAAGCAACGGTTAATCCTAGTCTTTCAGAGGAGAAGAGTAAAGTTGTGGGAACTATGATGAAGATGTATGTTTCCTCCCGTTTTTGTTTCTCGCATCGTGTATTAGTTAACACAAAACTCAAAGACAAGGTTCAACACGCAGCACTTTTCACCACTCAACCCGCTACCCAGATACGCTCCTTCATTTCTCCCTCGAGGAAAATTGTCAACAAGAATCCGGTCTTCCGCGTGAATTCACATTTGTATTTCTACTCGAACGACCGAGTGAAAAACAATATCCACCTGTTCATGTATTTCATTCGGCATCTAGGATTAAGAGGCTGGAAAATCGTATTTCGGAAAAGTTGAGGGGGTTGAGTGAGAGAGGGGAGGGGGAAGAATGTATGGAATATGGATTGGTTGATTTAGCGGGGGAGAAGAGGAAGCCGAGTTTTTTTGGGAAAGGCTCTCAAAGATTGGATGAAGATCTGGAGGGGATTTTTGGGGAGTTGGAATTTGAAATTGGGGTTGAGCCTAAGAGTTTGTTTTTCCTTCCACTCGTGCCCTTTCTTTCATCACTCTAACATCCCTTACCTAGTATCCAATACCCTCTCCGTCTCCCTCCCCATAACCCAGCATACAGAAATAACCAAAGTCGCCGGAGAAGTAGGACAGAAATTCCCAACGGAGGGAACGAGGGATAGCGCAGGGAAAGAAGAACATGAGGAGGCGATGGTGCATGGACTTTATAATTTTGCGAAGTTGGGAGGGGCATTTGAGGATCAGGTTTCTTTGCCGGGAGAGAGCGTGGGGAGTAGAGTGCCGGATGTGCCGGGTGCGGGGAAGTAGGGAAGTAGAGGGGAAGGGAGGTGGGAAAGGACAGAGGGGTGGAAATCAAAGGGAAGGGAGTTTATTATTGAGTTATGGGGTTATGGACTGTTTGATGGAAATATTCTTATATTTCTCTAGTATGTATAAGTAGACGAAGAACGAGGGACAACGAAGAAGAAGGAAAAATCGTAATGCCAGAATAACTAGTTAATTTTATCTCATATCTCACAATACTCTGTCTACCTACCGGGTTTAAAGTGATATTCATAAACTTATGATGAGTGCCTTTCATGCATCTTATTCAGTGATCAACTGAATGATATAAGACCGTATTCATATTTAGAGGTAAGACTACATCAAATATTTCTCTTGTAAACCAGTATTTGATTATTGATATTTGCTAGAGTTGCAAGCTTGCAGTATCTATAACCAGTGTTCGGATCTAAGCTATGGACGAATTGCAACGATTGGAATTATGGGATAAATGGCTATCTATGGATATGAAAATTTCTTGCGTGACCTTCTGTGCTCTTGATACGATTATATATACTCGATAAATTTTTTAAAGACGCATAAGTGTTACGCCGAGTAACAGGAAACCCTCACGTGCAATCAATATCACGTGACTGGCTCAATAAGGATCAATGAGCTCAGTACTGAGCTGCATTGATCCTACTGAGTAGCCATTGGTACGAAGGTCTATATAATCTAGATGGATTTCCTTTGTATAGAGTTTCGTGCTCAAGATCAATCATTTAGTATACTCTACTATTAGTTACGAATTGCATTATTGTCATTACTTAAGTCCCTGCTTGACGCCTAGTTATAAACCACCTCGAGAGCCTAGAGCACTTCCACGTGATCTAGACGGCAAACTGGTAACAAATTTTATCAAAGATTGAAAAACTTATAAGTATTTTTAATTTTGCCTATACTGTTAAAAGGAATGACCTTACACAGGGAATAGTGGGAAGCTGATAGGGCAGAACTGAGGCTATATTGACCTTCTATGTAAATCACCCATAATCATAGTTCTACGGAAGTGCAAAGCTCTCCTACAGAGAGCTTCTCGATCTAGTCATAATAGGACTAGTGCCCTGTGCACGTGCTACGCAGGAACCATTCACTTTAACATATACATCTTTAAAAGTTTCACCGAGTACAAAAACTAGGTATCGTGACATCGGATTCGGATGGAGGCATTTGAGGTTGCACTTGCATACCGAATTGCTATGTTGATACACCAATCCCAGTATCTAAAATTTGATGAGGTTGCAAATTAAAATGCATATATTATCCACTAATAAGAAGAAAATATTGCTCAAGTGGTTGTTTGCTCTTGACTACAAGACTACCAGGCCTTTGAAAGAAACCAATTGCATGCATGAGCATGCCGAAGTGACTTCCCGGAAACTTGGTAAGGGATGAATATCTCTCCCGCGGGCCGGATACTGAAAATACCGCTTCAGCTTGGCAGACAGGGTAGCTTGAGAGATGCTGAATCCTGATATATATATATTGATCTCGGATGAAACTCTTCAGTTACATTGCATTGCATTGGATATATGCATATGTTGGTTGAATGAATGAATGAAAACCTGAGATGTGGCTGGTGAAAGAGTAATCGGAGCAAAGTGTGGCTCACCGGGCTTTGTACGAGGGTAACCTCGGGAACAAACAAAAGTCTTTCCCATCAAAACTTATCTCCCCGACATTCAACATTCGGCATGTCGCCTTCTGTTTCCAATTGCCTCATGTAGTTAATTTGCTATCGAAGTGTATACGATCTTTTTTCAGATCCTACATCTTTCTCGAGCTCATGTCCTTCAATTCGGTTCGCATCCGTCGCGACGTTGGTTCTATCGGATATTACCCCCTCATCGTCGGAACTAATTGAACTACCCGATAAACTCTCAAGGTGGGAAATTCTCGGACCGCGACCGGATTCAATACTTGTCCAAGTGCATGACATCGGAGATGAGGAAGTAGCCACCAGGAACGTACCATATTTCCCGAGAACTATTCTATCGTCTATAGGTGATGCATGATGATGTTTAGCTAGGTAGGGAAGAGCGGGGCACATCAAAGAACTGACTTGCCCCTCATCCTTAAACAAAATACTTATATAAGGACTCAATACCCGTGAATATGAAAGAAGAACATCAATATGCTTCTCGATTTTCTACTTTTGAAAACACGTACAACAACATGGGAGTTCCCAATGACATATCAGCTAATTCTGGTGCGACTCCATATTCCGTGATCGATGGTTCCCAAGAAGCCACTCGAAAGTTACAGCAATTAGTCGGTGGTGGGCTTCCCTCGGAGGTGTTGAAACACCTAGAAGATGTTACTTATACAACTGCAACTGATGGCACTCAAATATATTTCCCTTGTCCCTTTAAGGAAACAGAAGCCACAGTTGCATTAAAATCAGTAGAAGCAAGCATTGTGGCTGCCATTGCAGACCTTCGCTATGGAGAACAGAAAAGGAGGATTGAGATCAATCTTGAGCAGACTGCTACTTTCTTATTCTCTACCTACATCGCTACAATTGCTGGCATGAACAAACAGCATCCCGATGTCAAATCAAAGCTGAAAGGTAATCTTCATTGGAAGTTTCTCAGAAACCTTTACTCACGTAGTTTACAGACACAGATTTACTCAAAGCACAAGCTATCTTGTATCGGAGACTTTCAGCAAACCTTTATGAGACGAAAAATCCAGGGGAATATTTTCATATCCATGGATCATTGGAAGCCGGGAAGACATTGAACATGATTGGACTGGAAGCACATCGGCCGGATCTTACAGATTATCGGGAATGTATCAACGTTATAGAAAAACATGTCAAGCAATATACTGCTGCAGACTTGGAAGTGATGAATGCTGAGATACATCAGGCTGGTGTAACAGCATTGAAATGGGAAGATTTCAAAAAAACAAGCCATGTAAGAATATTTCTGTGACTCCATTGAAAATTTACTAAGTTTTATTTCAGGGTCAAACAATTCTTGGCCTACCTCCATGGCAACTTGGTAAACTTCAGGATGATTCTCCATCATGCCCATTTCCAAATGTGGCTCCCGTGACGCCAACCTCAAAACCCCAAGTATTATCTGGTATTCGTGTCTTGGAACTCTGTCGAATTATTGCAGGACCTGCAATGGGTCGAACACTTGCTGAATATGGTGCCCAAGTTATCAAAGTTACATCTCCTAACCTCTCCGATGTTCCATTCTTCCAAGTCGATGGAAACACCGGCAAACATACCGCAGATATTGATCTGAAAACTCCAGATGGTCGCGCCATCTTTGAAGAATTGTTAAAATCTGCAGATGTAATTCTTGATGGATATCGACCAGGAGCTTTGGAGCGATTAGGATACGGGCCAGAACAAATCGTGAAGTTGATTGAAGGAAGGGGCAAAGGAATCGTTTATGTCTCCGAAGATTGTTTTGGCTACCAAGGGGAGTGGGCAGGTAGACCTGGTTGGCAACAGATAGCAGATTGTGTCACTGGTGTCGCTTGGGCTCAAGGTCAATTCATGGGCCTTGACGAACCTGTTGTGCCTCCGTTCCCAATGTCTGATTACGGAACTGGATGTATGGGCGCTATTTCTGCTCTAATAGGGTTGTATAAAAGAGCCAAGGAAGGAGGTAGTTGGAGAGGCACCACTAGCTTGTGTCAATATGATGTGTTTTTGTTAGGATTAGGATTATATGGGGATGATATAAAGGCCAAGGTTAGGAAGGATCACGATGACCATTTCTTCGACCTTAGGCATTCAGATAGTGTGGATGAAGTAGGTGGAAGAGCATTGAAGAGCATGCGCCGAGCTCATCCAGAATTGTTCGACGAGAAAAACATGCAAAAGGCATATAGCAAGGGTTTCAAGGAGGAGATTCGATGGTGTAGAAGTCCAGTTACTATTGAAGGTTTAAGAGTTGGATTTGACAGAGCCAGTCGTCCAAATGGATATGATACACCAACATGGGATGGTTGGGAGATTGAAGAGGAAGTTGTCGAAGGATAATTGCCTGAAATATAAATCATGAAGCGAATACGATTTTCGTCGAGTGAGAATGACCTCGCTTGTTGTGTGGAACCATCGCTAAAGCAATATAATATCCCATTCAATATCGCAAGCGCGCTGCATATATTGCCTAAAATCAGACTTCCGGAAGCGCGGGATCTCCATTCATATTGCCTATATTATCTGGTATACTATATATAGCCCGTGCATTCATAGCCACTCCATATCAATATACCGTAGGCATTTTAGTGAAGGTCTCAGTTTCCTTTCATTATTTAGCCAATGCATCGTTCCAAATATAGGAATGTACACTGAAGTAGTAAACCCATTCACGCTGTACACATCTATTTTCAGCTCTGACTTGGATATCTAGGTGCTTGGCATGGCTGGATAAAGAACCAACTCATAGCTTTTGTTGCAAATCTATGTTGAATGTTTGGAGCCGAGCATGACATGGCTTTCTTTAAGTGGGGAATATGCTCAGAGGCGGGGAGTTATTGGCTTGTGGAGAAGCTATGTCTTAGATTTCGACACTCCATTACCAAAAAGGAACGAGAAATTAGTGTGTCGAGGAGCTAAGATGACTGTGTGTGTGATGTGGCTGGAACTCTGGGTGGTTGATGATGGACGGTACTAAAGCGTATGAAAAATACACCGACAATACCTCTGGCATGGTCTCGGGATTATCCTTGCATGAAATAATAAAGATACGGAGAGGAATCCGAGTGGATGGTAATGTGCAGATGACTTGTCAAAACACTACCTATGATATAAGATTACAATCTTCATATAATTAGAGTGCACTGTGCACTATAAGCCTTCAGGCTATGGCAAGAACTATCGAGATTGCTAGGCTGGGCTTCATAAGAAGCAATACCAACCGAAAGCCGTGTTCTTTATGCATTCGATGCTATGTTACGTTACAAGACATGGAATTCCCTGAGCCACGAGATGCGAAATCATTTACAATGATATCATTGGTTTCTTGGATGTCTCGAGGCTTTTTGGTACCCAATAATGCTTGGGGATCGGGAAGTGGAGTGAAAGGAAGGGAAGGTTTAGCCTTGAGTATGGAGTTTGGATCTTGTGTCACTAAATAAATATACCTACATCATACGCCATTTTGCTGCGTCGTCTCGTACGGACTTATGATAAGCATATATGATTGGTAAATTTTGAGCTGGTGTCCTTGAGATTGCTATGTTTATGATTGATTGATCTTGGTATGTGTTGAAGGGTGATCACGCCCCGGTCTGTCGCACACGGTTACAAGTTACATAACGGCAGAGCTGGTTTGATTTTCTTTTTAGTTAGTTTTTGGTAGGATTGCTGTTCTTGGCGGACAGTTGGAAGCCTGGCATTTTCAGTCATTTCACTTCAGCTCGAGCTGAGACTAGGAGATCCTTTTTATCACCCTTTGATTAGCCAATGTCTATACTTCTCATATATGAAGCTACCTAGGATTCAAGGAGATTGGGCGTCCTAGAGGGATCAGATATTCTTGCTTCGATACTGGGTAAATACCACTGGGCATTTCCGGTGGAAAAGGGTAGTACCATATACATATTATTTCTAATCGACGGATACTTCCACCTGATCAGCTAGATGATACATACACGCAGCAACAAAAATAGAACAGCAGTGAAAATATCCAAACAAAATTCATATTACAGTATTTCAGAATTTCAATAGAGAAATCAACCATTTCCACCTTCAGATCTCACCTCTTTCTTGCACGAAACTAGATTTTTTGAACAGAAAAACTCAAAAATATCACTTAACCACGCATTGTGACCATGTTACTCATCGTTCTTACGTTCCTAAAGCTGGAGAACCAGTGGTTTATAAAGAGTAAATAAGGGGGAAAGAATACCTCGATTCACCTTCAAGTAGATAATTAAGTCATCGTATCTATGTATGTAGTGAATTTCACCTCTTTAAGTTGTGCCCTTGCGCTGGATGATGATACTGTGGGAGGTTTTTGGAGACCTGGCTTTGCGGTTGAGGGAGTGTGATGTAGATAAATGAATTTAGTCATTGATTTGTAGGGATTTTGGGGGGATTTTGATACAGAGAGGGGTGCTTTGCATAGGAAAATTCACTTGTGCATGAGTGGGACTCTAAGATCCTAGAGGATTTTTAAGTAATCTCTGGGGTTTAGGGACAAATATGAGAAGTAGGGAGGGAGTCATTAGGGAATATATCGCAGCCTTTATCATTCTTTTTGGATACATTTTTAAGATGTAAGATTACTTCTTCATGGTATTTTAAACTTGCCTAGTTTCTGGATGTATGTAAACCGAAGCTTTGAGAGAGTAAGTTTGAAACTTCATGTTTAGAGTCGTGAATAGTTTGTTTTTGTCCTAGCTCGCCATAAACCCTACACCCGATGCGCGGATCCGCCGGGGATTACCATAATTTGGGATTGGGGCTTTCAATGATGGGATGTTACTGGTTGGATAGTGGGAATTTGGGAGAAAATATGCTAGGGAACCATGGTTTGTTGCATCCCAATGTGGAGGAATTGGGCTGTAGTCGATATTTTTTTGTTCTGCGCTATCTGTTTTGAGGTTTGCGGTCCTCTGTATACTGTTTGGCTCTTTGACGGTTGAAATTACTTCTACAATTTTCTTATTTTTCCTCTCAGTGATTCTGGAATGACAGGTGAGGCATTCGCGTATAATTCTTGGGTCGATTGACATGTGGTTAATTAGTTCATTATTTCTATACTGTCCACTGTATTTAGTGAAATATCAAAGTAATAAATGGTCCACTTTACGAGTCGGAAAAACATTTCTCTTGTATTTAGTTTATCGGCTTGGTAGATCTACTACTATCACAAACTTCGACTCGGGAGTGCATGTCATTCTCAAATATGGGATGTCCTTGTCGTGTGGTTTTACGAAATCTAGATGTGCATGTACACAGAAGGGGTCCAGGATGCTTTGCATTTATGCTGATGCTGCTATGATTAGCGCTTAGAAAACAGAGAGCTTCAATATGATATCGGTATGAAGTTTTCCCTTTATGCTAAAGCTAGCCCCGCTCAAATATATCATTTCTTCTGGAGTGATCTTTCTATGTCAAGCATATTGGCGTTCTCATCGGTTTTAACTTCCCCTGTGTGGGAATGAAGAATTCTAGTTTCGCCGCCTTTTCGAGGGAGTTGAGTGGCTGAGTGATCATGTTAGCTGAATGTGTAAAAGAGTCGTTCTCGTGAAACTACTGACACCTATGATGTTAATATGCTCTTTAGATGTAATGAGAGCTCTGAAAGAAGGCTATAGAGACTTTTCAAGCTTGGAGAGTGTTTAATCAGAGGAGGAAGCTTTCAATGATGTGAGCTATTCATGCTATTATTTTTCACAGCGATGGAAATTGAAATTTGGTCACGCTTATCACTCACTCATCCACTCCTTTTTCCTTGACAATATACATGAAACTTATCTCGTCCTCAGACCCTTCTTCGATTACCTAAATATAAAAACCATAAATCAACTAATAAGAGTTATATAGAGTATCATTATAGGATCTTTAAAGAATCTGAAAGTTTTTGATTTCTATCTTAATATAAAAAGTAATAATTCGATCTTTATTCAATTATTATTTAATATATTGAAAATTTATCAATAATTATAGGTTTTTAATATAAATTCAATAGATAAAGATGATTTTTTGGTTATTTTTATATATATTATATTATTATAATACTATTTGATCAAATATATATGTATCATTCAAAATTCAAAATTGTATTTTCAAAAAGTAATATTTTAATAATTCAAATTTTCAATTTTTTTGAAATCAATAATTATAATTCTTCTTGAAAAATTTATTGATATCTGTGATGGAAACCCCTGCTTTCCTCCCACCCTTATTATATAAGAAACCTCAGGTACATTAACCATGTTCACACATGATATGATTACTCGGGATTAGTGTTACGTGACGGTTGTTACCCACTAGTGGCTCACGTGCACTAGCCCTTTATATAAAGACCTTCTTACTTAGAATCTTCTTAGTTCTTTAGTTTTAGATTCTAAGTGATTGAATTGACTCCGTTTACGACTTTTCCGTCACAATTAGTATACGATTTAGGTGGTCTGAGGATCAGATCCGAACAAGTACTATGTATCAATGGTTATCGGTAAAGTAAGATCATTGGAGGGATAAATATGATTTCTTTTTGTTTAGCTATTGTGGTTAGGCCATTCATTTGTTTATATATAGAGTAGCTATCCCTATCTACAGGTGCTCTTCACCTGTAGATTCCAAGTTAAATACAATTGCTGGTCTATAAACACCCTTTTGGTCACAATATCTTAAATATCCTTTAATTAATATTATCTTCAAGATATTAATAGATTTTTTAAAAAGAATTATAATTACTCTTGTTTTCCCCACTTTTGCCTTTTTATTTAAGAACCCTACAGCTGGAGTTCGTATTAAAGATCTATCAAATAGCTCCGAATCACTTTTCCAATTGCTTTACGGTGGTTCGGACGCCAAAAGGAGTTCAAGTTGATCAAGGATTGAATGTAGCATATTCCTTGATCAAAAGTGTCGGTTTCGGGTTATATTGACGGTTGAAGTAGGCTTGGATTGATTGTCACTGTTCGTTACTGTTGCTTAACTTTGACCGCAAGTAGATTCCCGCCATCAGTGGTATAGGTGCCTTTTGAAAAATATACTTCAAGATTCTTAAGTCTCAGTCCTCTTTTAAGTCAAGGTATTCTGTAAATTAAACGAGATGATGCATTTCTGGATAACTTGAGAAGTCATTTCGCCCCATCATTAAGTTTGATATCTGGAGGGGAAAGTCCGCCTACCAATCTCACAGCATTTACAGTGTTTAAATGGTACAAGATACTTATTTTACCATCTATAGGGGAAATGGAGCCAGCATGCCATTCACTCGTTACCTTGGCATCATGAAAACTTAATTCGATTTGTTTATAAGTCTAGTACCCCATTTTTGGATCACCCCTCTTTTGGACCACCTTTTTACATCAAAAATCGTGATTTTCACCTATTAATAACTTTATAACCAATCAATGTAATTTGATAAAATTTGAATTATAAATTTATTATATAATGTTAAAGTGAATGGTTCCTGCGTAGCACGTGCACAGGGCACTAGTCCTGTTAGGACTAGATTGAGAAGCTCTCTTACAGAGAGCTTCGCACTTCCGTAGAACTTAGAAGAGAGATCAACCTACTAGACCAATATTACCTCAGTTCTGCCCTATCAGCTTCCCACTATTCCCTGTGTGAGGTCATTCCTTTTAACAGATTTTCTATATATTTTAAAATTTAAAATCCTAATAACGTGGTTTATCAGCGAGTCGCCACTATCAGCGAGTCGCCACTTTTTCACTTATTCAACCACTTTAAACTTATTTTAATCAACAATTATTGAATCAATTGATTTAAACTATTAAGAATCTAATAATCTAGGGTCTATTATATTATTAGAACAAGTTCTTGAATTGTGACCAGTCTTTCCACATTTACTACAGCATCGATTAGTAGATGATTCCCTATTGGAATTTCCCCTATTTTGACGCTCGTCGCATCGAATCTGAATATCCACCTCTTGTTGTGATATTATATCTATAGCTTCCTAATCAGTAAATACTCCTCCTTGATGTAATTAAGTTTTTTTAATATATCGATATTTGCTTAATGCCTCATTTGCTTTCCGAAGCATATGAATCTCTACACTTAAGAGTGTATTCTCATAAATTAGTCGTTCTATACCCTTAACTAATACAACTACAATTTTGAATATAGATGTAGGAGAGCTTGATTGATATCGAGCAATTCGAGATTTCACTAAAGTTGATTGTAAAAGAGCTTCAGTTGGATTATGAGATATTTGAGAGACCCAAGAGTTGGCAGATTCCAAAAGGATCGATGGAGGGGTAGGTGTGCGAATTCGAATATCTAATTTCGAAAGCACAGCTTGAGGATCAAATGGTATTAGTCCTGCTCCTCGAAAGCTAGCTTTCATATTCTGAATTGTAATCGATTATTGATATGCAACTTTGAAAGCTATAAAGAATTCAATTTTAGAAATATGATTGATATATACCTTGATAAACTCATCAATTTGACAATTATATAAACGTTTGAATATGCTAAAACATCCAACATCAAGTGGTTGAATTAAATGATTTGAATGCGATAATAACTTTACACATATAATGTCATTTGACTTGCAATATGATTGGAAAGGTATCGATTCATAACTTTCATGCCTATCCAATACTAATATTCGATATTTGCCCTTTCTTCGTTGACTAGTATATTTATCGAAGTGCTTTAATCATTCTAAACCTGTCTCATTATTCGTCCATTCATTAGAAGTAGGTTTAATAGCCCAATCCGCAGGAAAATCGGTTTCGGTATATCAATTGGAAAGATAAACTTGTCCTTAAACTATCAGAAATGGAGGTATAGTTTCATCCTCTTTATTACCACATATAATTGCCGTAGCCCATTCTCGATTGCCTGGTTGTATTGCCTTGTTTCTGCCATTTCTTTCAGAACTAATTACAACCATTCCAGAGCATATTATGCCCATCATAAAGCCGGTTTCGTCGAAATTGTAGAAATCGCAATCTTGAATATCATATTTCGCCTGCATATTCGATACCAATCCAAACCATTCTTCAATAAGCTTGGAATCTTTGTAGAGAGCTCTTTGAAAATTATAAATACAACTAAAACACATCTTTAATTTTGTACAACGCTTTACGAATCGATGAGCCCAGAGCTTTCCAACTCTCTTCGCATCTTTTGATTCGAGAATATAATTCACTATATCTTTTACACCATTTAATTTAGATGCAAATCCTCTTTCATTCATATCGATAATATACTGAATAAGCACCTCTTCTTCTTTTTCAATCAAATTAAGATTATTTGCTCGAGTTTCCATTCTGTGAATTCGACCGCCCATTCTATCTCGTAATATAGTTCGAGGGACTTTGTAGATTTTCGCAGTCTTTCCAACTGTAAGATTTTTTGATTTTTGAATAGCTTCAATAGCTAAGATTATTCTGGCCTCTTTTGATTGTATTTCCATAATAATTCGTTGAAATATCGCGTCTTGAAATTGAATGATAAAAGATAACGTAAGTCATGGCGTAATGCGTCTAATGGCGTAATGCGTCTAATTGTGGGGGACCACCCCATCAAAAAAGCAACAATTCAACAATGGTCCATCGAAAAAGTTTAAAAGTATAGGAAATGGAATCTCGATTTACTGAAACAATATTAGGAGTTCAAAATGGAAAGTATAAGTCTTTATATAAAGCTGTAAAAGAACTAGGGCTTTCTAAAGATATTATAACGCAATACATTAAAGAAGGTTCATTGCGTTCTGAAGTATATTAATCACAACAGAAACTTTCTGCTATATAAGAGAATGTATTTCTTAAATAGATAAAGCAATTGATAATTAACGGCTATTTATTAAACCATCAGTTATTAAAAGAATTGGTTGAGGAGTTATATTCAAAACAGACTTATAATTTGGATTGTCTCTTATTTGACTCTCTTGAACTCTCATTATAACACTTTCTTAATCATAAATAAGTTCCACGATTTATCAAACAACATCCTCATCTTACAATTGTTATTGGTCATCGAATTGAATCTATAAGAATGGATAATACAATTAAGGAAACATATAGTACTTGGTTTGATGTATATCAAAAAGCAATTTAGGATTATAGAATTGAGAAGAAAGACGAATACAATATAAATGAATCTGGATATTCAATTGAAATAATAAAATCAACCCGAATTATTATCGATTCTACACTTTGTACAAAACATCAAGCATATTCAGGCCATCAAGAGTAGATTTCAATAGTAAAGTGTATTTATGTAGATGAATCCATTCTTCTATTACTCAGGATTTTTAAAAGTAAAAACGTCCTTCAAAATTGGATTCCGAAGAAAGTTCTTGATAGCTGATTCTTTTCAGCAAATACAAAGGGCTGGACAAGCAATCTTCATGGATTAAAATGGCTAAAACGTGTTTTCGAATCTGTAACTCATACAAAAATAGATAACAAATATCGGTTTCTCATCTACAATAGTTATAATTCTTATATTAATAAAAGCTTTATAGTTCATTACCTTCAAAATCGAATTGTACTTCTTATACTTCCTCCTCATATCTTACATTTGCTTCAGCCACTTGATGTTGCGGTTTTCGATTCATTGAAAAAACAGCTCACCGCAGCACTTTCTGATTTGAATCAAGCTCAACTTATACGAATACAAAAGATTGAATAAATGAAGGCATATATTAAAGCTCGAGCCGATATATGTCATCATCAAAATATTAAATCGGTATAGCGGGGAGTTGGGTTACATCTATTTAATCCACAAAGAGTATTCTGTATACTGGGTCGAGAGTTTACCCTCAAAGTCGAAATATCCAAAGAATTAATCCAATTTGATATTTTTAATCAAATCTTTATCAATAGCTCACCTTTGGATATAGCAATCTTACAAATAGCAAATAACCTTTTAAATTCAACAATTGAAAATGATACAACTCTTTCAACCCTGATTTGTCAATACATTCGAAAATTGACGATTGAGAGTGAGCAACTTCGAGCTCAAAGTATTATTCACTAACACAATGCGAATAATTTATGAGTTATTATGAAGAAATATATAATATATAAGAAAGAAAAGAGATTAGTTTTGAAGGATCATTTTCATATTTCTATACAAGAATTATATAATACAATAATAGAAGCCGAAAAAGCTACTAAAGTATAGATAATGAAAAAAGGAAAAGGGAAAGGGAAAGTAATTGAATATGAGACTGAAACTGAAGAGGATATTGGAGAAGAAGTTGAAGATGAATCTGAAAGTGATATTGGAGATTGTATTATAGTTGATTGTTGAGTAATTGAGATTTTAATAGAGTGGTTCCCCGCAATTAGACGCATTACGCCATTAGACGCATTACGCCATGACTTACGTTATTGAAAAAGTGGCGACTCGCTGATAGTGGCGACTCGCTGATAAACCACGTTATATTATATTTTATTTGATTTGAAGATTTCAAAAAATTTATAATTTATTTTTAGTAATTTTTGTTGAAAAATTATTGAAGATTTTCAAGATTTTCAAATTTATATATAAATCCTATACAAATCGAAAATAGAAATTTCAACCTTCAAAATCTCAATCAATAAAATTACGAAAAATCTGAAATTTTCAGAGTTGATTTACAATTATATAATGATTTTGTAATTGAATTTTCATTTGATTTCATTCATTAATTGTTGAATTATTAATAGCTAAAAATGGTAATTTTTGGTGTAAAAAGGTGGTCCAAAGGAGGGGTGATCCAAAAGTAGGGTACTAGACTTAATTCTTGTTTAGAGGGAGCCCCGACTTCTACAAACACAATCCAAGGAACTCGAGGATTGTGAGTGATTTGCTGATCGTACCTCCGCTATCTTTCATTGTAGCCTGGACTTCAAATCAAAGCTGGTTTCCCAGCTTGTTTGTAAAATCATCCTGGATATCTCATCTAATACTATCGATTTCTCTATTGTAAATGTCCTTTTTACTTTAGAAACTACAACAATCTTAAGTTGTTTGCAGAGCAAAGTATCATTTACCATGAACTGCGTCTTCTATATGCTACCATATATGTTGTTTTTATGTTCCATCTTTAGTGACTTTGATGCCTTCAGCAATTATTTGATGGAATTTCTGGTGGACTTATAAACACACATTGCAGCTATTCGTGATAAGTTCTACATACCTATGAAAGGCTTAGCATCACTCATTCACTTTCTTAGATCATGAATGACTTCTAGGTAGGGATGTGCATTTTGTAGTTGCATAAAGCATAATAATCTAGCTCCCTTTATTATCATGTTTTATTAATAGGTTTTTTGGGAGGGGGACGAGTCAATTATGGACTATGATTGGATGGATTGAGGGGAAAATATTTTATTTATTCTTATTAAGATCAACATTTTGAAGATTAGCTATTATCCTCCATATTAAACAATATATTTTTTTCTAATTGATCCTACATCTGTTTAAACCAATCAGGATACAAGATATAGGTAGTCTACGGTATAGTAGGTAAGTTGATTATTCTTCAAAATCAATATCATAATAAGATCGAAGGTTCAAGTGTAGTGAATATAGGAATAACCTCAAAAATATCTAAATGTATTGATTGTGTTGACCTCCTGGGATCTTGGCAGCATATGCATATATATTGCATGATGCATATAAGGAGCAAACAAAACTCAACTTTTAATTCATTCTTTCCTTTTTGGTATACTGTTTGTTTGCTTTCAATATTTTGATTTCAAAGCACTTTAATTCCGAAGGCTGAATACCTAACCTTATTCCTTCATTTTTGAATATATACTCGCAGCTTAACTGCTTAGCTAGAGAATCAATCAATTCAATCTGATGCTCTTTCTGGTCTCAAGAAACCCAATAGATTGGCTGCAAGGTATGACTAAGCTTTTTTAAAAATAAAGCAGTTAATAATGATGCTATACCCTTGTTATGCTTTATCATAATCTAGCTCTGCTTTACATAAAGCCCCCATCCCTACTTCTAGGAAGACTTGATATACGTATGATTGGCCAAAAGAATGATGTCCTTACCTCGGCCGAGGATTCACTCACTGATATTAGTCCTGCTCAATCTATCTTTTTCAAAAGATTTATTTTCCAACTCTTATATAAATTGTGACCGTGTGTAATACCAACAGAAAAGGAAGTAAAGACCAGAGACAAGGATATGGGTGGGACATGGTGGGAATTATTTTTGCTCTGGTTAGGATGTAGTACGAAACCGAGTCTTTTTTGATTCAGATTTCATCACGAAGTTGACAAACCGATTTTTCTTGATTCAAATAACCATCTGAAGATTTGGATTCCTTCATCGCTCATCTTACTCAATCATTATCATTAATTCCGCCTCTGTTATTGTTACCAATACACTATTTTTATCGTCTATATTCACTTGACTGTACTACATCAACACACGGTCCATTTTATACCTTCGGATTTTCTTTTTGTATCCCAATATATCCTTGAATATTCTCTGCCTGTTGTAAATAAATTCGTGTCAAAGGTCTTAGGGTGCGTTTGGATTGATTTTTTTTTTTCACATTTGACCACATTCGGGCCAATATATTAGGTCTAATATGCTCGAATCGAATATGATATTCTAGCTAATATATATTTGCCAAAATATCTGCGTTTACCAAACACAATATTAGATCCAATCAAAAATATTAGAACAAATATATATTTGATTAAATATTCGAACATTTTCCTATAAAATAATCAATAATAGCTTTTTGATACTAGTAACCACACGTTTGGAAAATTTCGATATCTCAACCACCAAAAATCTTCATTTTCATTCACCTTTGCTAATTTTTCAAATATACCTCAAATATATTAACTTCAATCAAATATATTCAAATATATATTAGATCCAATATTTTATTGAGCTCAATATTTCTAATATTTTTGAAAATCGATCTGAACACACCCTTATTATTCATAGAGGGGCTACTCTCTTCAAGGTTAGGTTTGGTCCTGTAGACTATATGCATATCGAATGCCTTATAAACTAAGCTCATAAAAGCCTAACACTGTCATGATGTACAAGGTCTCATCCTAATCTACTTTTGATTATGGTCCCACTTCTTCACTGAAAGGAACTTTCTTTGGTCCAAAGAACAACTTTTTGTAACGGGAAACTCGAACCTGATTCCAAGTTGACTAGCAGCTGAAAATGACCTATATGTGGAAATTTATCACTGGGTATAATAGATACAACAAGATACTACATGATGGATTAGAGATATACCCACTACCCCCTTTCCTGTCAAGGTTTAAAATCAATATTGGGGTATGCTTTAGTGTTTTTGATATATCCGGTGGCTATATTAACTATTCCGTGAGTAGAAGAGTCTAATCTACTCATGCTTTTACTAGATATCCAACACGCGCAGGTCTGTCTCTACACGAATACATTGTTGTCACGCTATCATTCCGCTTATAGTCGTCCTTTTCTTCTCTCAGTTGGTGGTACTTCAATCTTTAATTGTTACCACTATTCACTAATTCATTTTCGTTGTCGTGTTCTAGATTTTTTCGTCTCTCTCTTTGGATTTCATCATGAGAATAAAAAGCCTTAAATAATACCTAAATCTAGCCTAATTACTGCTAGTAGCTTCATATCTTCCTTTTTACCTACTTTGAATTCGGTTTAGGCTCGTCTGGAGGACGATGCTATCATGCGAGTAGGCTTTCGAGCCCATATCTTTCTTCGGTCCTTATCCAAAATAGGGGGTGCTGGATTTTTGCTGTTGTTCGACAAGTTTATGGTCATTTTCTCAACTTATTATTCGATACATGTAGTCAATAAAACCACATGCTCGTCGCTAGCCTATCTGGTTTGTTCCTGTATGAGAAGCAACAAAGTAAGTATGTTTATATGTTATCTACCTAGGTAGTCGCAGATTCAAACTCGGTGAATCTAAGAGCCCATTCTTATAGTATCGAACTTTCCCAAGGACTGTGTAAATAATGCTGTGTCTTTGGTTGATACGAAGGAGTGAACACCATTTATGGCCATTGACAAATATAGGAACAATATATAAGTCATTGCTCTTCCTAATACTTCTTGATTCCATAAAGAGAAGAAATGCAATTTGCTTACGCTTTAGAGCTAGCCAAATCCGAGCCCCCGCCAAAGCACCTGTCTGGGACTTATATATCTTGTAGTAAATAAACTTGAATTCGGCATGTATTTCTCTTCATTTTCGTCTCTATTTACATGGAATTTTCATTGTCGCTCTCTCTCGAAGCTCTCATTGTCCTTGTACTCCCCAACCATCACATTCTTCCTGCCACAAATAGTAACGGATATTTTCCCAGGATGTATGGGAAACCCGGCAAGGAGAAATCACGACTAAGGTCTAAAGGACCCCGGATCTTGAAGATCTCCTTTTTGAATTCTTCATTCGCTCTGGACTTCGGAGCAGGGCTATTTGATGATGATTGTATTTGTGGTAATGTCAAGGAAAGATATTTTGAATGCAATCACTTCACAAACGGCCCCGCCCCTAGATTCACTTTAGCCATACTTTAAGAACCATTTTAATAAAACTTGAGCCATAAAAGCTTACTCCCAGTTGCAGCATTGGTAAGGTTCTCAAAGAATAGCGACATATGATACTGCATAAACATAGTCAAAGAGGTGTCAAGCAACCTCATGCTTGTAGAATGAAGATTAAATTCACGACAGTTTTGGCCATAGCAAAATTTTCCACGTAATACTGACAGGGTTTATTGACAGCAGTGCTAATATTATAACAAAAATCATCAGCACTTGAGAAATATTGCAACAAAGTTGGTATGAGATGAAAAAATAACCTGGTCAATCCCTCCGAATTCGCGGACTCTCCCTCTTAGGACGATTAAATTGTCTTTTATATCATAGATAATAAGACACCCAGTATTTTCCTTGTTATTTTCGATTTCTCTTAATGATCATACTGTATTCATCGCTAAAATTGAGGAAGATGAATAAGTCGGTGCTAGTAAACCCAGAGATCTGAATTGAAAATCCCACCAACCGGCTGGATATCAAGAATGGCGTCCGTATTCTGAAGTAAGCTTTTCCTGATTGATTTGATTTACCCTATCCATGTCTAGCTCTCAACTGAATATCTTGACTCCATGTTCTTCTTCCTCTCATCCAATTTTGAGTGCTGATTTATTTATAAGCACTGCACCTTGCAGTCAAATTCATCATAGTTGACCCTCGAGACCATCTTATGATGTGTTTTAGGGACCATTGGGAATTCTGCAAGCAAACCATGGAAAGAGAGATGTCGATCAGAGTGAGTCAGCACTATTACTTTTCCATCACTGACATGGCGCTAATACCCATTGCCATTCTCGCTTAATTCACTGAGCCCCTAACTAAGTTCTATACTAATAGCTCTTCTAAAACTTAATCTTTCTAATGTCTTTACCCTAAATATAATTATACGTGTCAAAATAGCCAAGGAACAGAGCAAGAGATATAGAAGGGAGAAAATGTCCATGAATGATGTTGAGAACCGTGTTATTGCTGACATGACCACTCTCTCATATTCACTCCTCAAATTTTTCATATCATCAGAATCTGTTGAGTCCATCGATGTGCATAATGTTCATTTGTTTTTCATACTTGAAATATATCAATATATACATACGGTCTATTTTGTAAACATCGTTTTTCCTTTGTAATCGCGTGTGAAGGAATTTACCACGGAATGATGCTTTTCGTCTTTTAAGTCCGCTTCACGACTACAAATATATGCAAAAACTTTCTGTTGTACAATGCAGAATGCTGGCCTGGTTAGGTCAAAGCTTGTGAGATGTTGATGAAACTCACTGCATATTAGTGGTTCTAAGATTTTCAAGACATGGTTCAAGTCATCATTTTGACCTCGCGTCGTCCTTATTGTAACTACTGTTCGCCCATCTCCGTGTCTTTCCTCCCAGTGTTGGAAATGATCTTAATAGTGCCTGGAAAATTACCTTATTCATCTGTTTGTGTTTATGATCTTTGAATGTGAGAAACAAGATAGGATGTGATGTATCTTCGGTTCTTTACATAGAGGTATCCCTAAATAGGAGGCTTAGTGTCGTATCAAATCCACAATTCAGTTTTATATGGATTACAATGGTCCAAAGTGTTCACGATGCTGGATACTTTTGTGCTTATTCATTGCCAATACTTTTACCTTCCTGTTATTTTTTGATAGAAAAATTACCGTCTGAACTTTCATTCTCCTATTAAACTTGCCAACTATAAATTTCAAATTGTGAGTCCTCAGTTTCAGTCCGGATTACTGCATTGGAAACTTCGAACGCAGAATTTCGAGAAAATAATTACACCTCCAGGTCACGGTGTAAATACATAACTTTCGCGTAAACGAGGCAAGGGGAAATGACATAGATATATATTATTGAATAAGTGGGATATATTTACCTCCACCCCGGAGATATGTGAATTGAAGAAGAGCGTGACTTACTTCATATTTTATGGCTACCACTATAGACTTAGGAATCCAATTTCAATTGGCTCTAAGTTCTCTTCCCGGTTTTCCTGGAATCCTCGATCAATTTTCAACATTCATTATTTTACAAATACAAGAGAAGTCTGATATATCATTTCCAATTCCTTCCTTAGACACCCATGCCTCCGTTGGAATTAGTGGCTTTTCCAACCACGGAGCCCGATTTTCATATACGTGAAACTCATCAAAAGAAATTCATGGAAGGAGAAGCGTTTATACGGATAGAAAATAAATTACACAGGTGTATCTGGAAAGTGGAGGGGGGGTAGAGATAATGAATCAGTTTAGGTGTGCCAAGGAAAGAGCGTGCCGGTGGTAGAGCGCAAGTCTAATAATTCAAAACAATAGTATAAAATTTAGTATTTGATGTATCATCCTCCTCCCAACTCTAAATATTTCTTCAATCTCCCAATATATAAACACTCAGAGAATTCAAAGGTCCATTATCCACTACAACCGAAGATCATATATTCCAAAGATACAATGTTCTGTCATAGTTGTCCACTTTGTACTGTTACTTTCTCCTTTTATTTTCCTCAGGTTCATAAAAGCTAATTGAGCATAGCTGATGGAATAAGTAGTCAAGTCCAGGATCCGACTAATCATAACTGTCACTGATCATTACGTATACACATACTATTATCATTACCCTTCAATATTTAAAGCACTGTTGTCATAATCTTACAACCCCAGCACCATTCTTAAAAGTTTTATTTTATCTTCACCTTACTTGTATCTCATTTGATCTTCATCATATCTTTTCTGATAGGCTTCATATTGTGAACAAAAAAACCGACAACACAATTGCGATGACCACCCACTACAAGGTCACGCACATCACCTGTGAATTCAAAAATTGCAACAAGACCCATCTATCAAGGTTTAAATTCCCAGCAGAGGATCCTCTTTAAGATTATTGATATTTTCTTTGTCGGGCACGGAAAGGAAATCTTGTTCAAGTGAGTACTTCTATAAATAATATTCAAAGTAAGCAGTCAAAGGTAAAGAAATACACCGTGCAGACGGAGAATTTGGGAGAGGTGAAAGTGAAGCGAATAATCCGAAGTGTTACTTTGAAGTATGATTATTACATGATATGGAAGGTGTCTATTCCAGAAGCCGCTGTTTAGACCCTTGCCCCCTTTTCCTCTCGCTTATTACCAAATTCCCACAATCACTTCCTGATTAATATATAAACTCTCAGTTGTACCCTCAAGTTCAACAAATACAATACACTCACTTCGAAGATCATTGCATGAAGGAATTTTAAAGAGTCTAGAACTTTGCGTGGAATTCTTTTTGGAAAATAAGGCTGAGAATCTGCAGGCTGATTTCTGGCAGAATGCAATTATATATACAATTATCAACGCATAGCATTCTCATCATCATAATCTTAAATTCCACATTGCCATTATTTGGCGCATTACCGCTATCAACAAACCAAATTTATCATTTCTCCTTTCAGTCCCGTCTCCCGCCACTCCTACTTTTTCAGATCTCAAAAATTCGAATCAAAGAAACACGAATCACCAGGCTTATTCTCTGCGCACGGAGGTCGGGATCTACATTTAGACCTTTTATTCTAGACGGATAGCAACTAAATGTACTTGATATCAATGAAATGTCTTGTCTTTTATAACCAAGAAAGAAATTGGGCGACCGCAAAATCCGAGGGTAAATAGGTGATGAACATAAACGTGAAAATAGTATTGACCAACCTGCTTAACTCTTATTTCTATCCTCGATTTTACCATCTATTTCCATACTAGTTTATCCTTTTAAACATCCTTCCTCACTCGTGCCGCTTTAAAAATTAATCCACAAAACTTATATATTTCATCCTCAATAGATGAAAATTTGCTCCTCCTCACAGCCTTTCTAGGTATTATGAGAGACGGAGATATAAAATCGCATAAGAAACAGTATTTTCTTTGCAAAACTTGAAATAGTGATTTTCCCTTTAAGTCACTTACATCTCTTTTACACAAGATAATGAGTTTAAGAGAAGAAGACTAACAACCACGAAATCTAATTCATCATCTGTATTCATCATTTCTCCTTTGTTCCCTCCACCTTTTAAGATCATCAAGACACCGGCTACATCCCCAGATCTGAAACTTCTTACCTCTAACAATATATAAACACTTGACTATTCCGGAATCCAAGTAAACACAAGAAATAAAATACTTAGCCTTTAATAATTCAAATGATATTTAACACCTTTCCCCTTCCGCAATGTGATACAAGTATTTCTTAGCCCTTTTTCTTCTAAGATCTGACATCTGGTTAGGCTTCACAGAGTATCAACAGCCGAGTGTCTAAACATCCACACGTATAGAAACATTTCATTATCAAATTAAATATATTCAATATCACATCTAAAACACAATGGCCATTCATCATTACCATCGCTACCATTTACAAAACTTTCCTAATCTAGACTTCCCGTACAAGTCTCTTCATTATTAATACCGTAGCTCCGGATTCCACGCCGTGACTCTCGATCACATGCTACCGAGCCGCGCAAATGCACTACACAGTCTTTCGTCTATTAGGTTATTTACATTCAGCCCTATAAGAAATCACACAGAACAAGAATTGATTGATCACAGATCTATGAATTTAAATACATCTAAAACCAAAAGAAATTCTTAACGCCGTGCATCAAGAAAGTAGGAAATAAAAAACAAAAAAGTGAATTTTTTACTCATGAATCTTCACTCCTCACTCCACCCCTCCCCCCTCAAATTTCCCACATATATCTTCAAGCATCTATTATATTAACCTCTCTTTCCCCCTCTATAATAATAATTCGTCAAACAACTTTTTTTTAGAAATATCAGAATACTTCTAATTCTTCTATTTTTTATCCTTAATTCCTTTTCATTATATTTTGTTAAAGTGAATGGTTCCTGCGTAGCACGTGCACAGGGCACTAGTCCTATTAGGACTAGATTGAGAAGCTCTCTGTAAGAGAGCTTCGCACTTCCGTATAACTTAGAAGAGAGATTAACCTACTAGACCAATATTACCTCAGTTCCGCCCTATCAGCTTCCCACTATTCCCTGGGTGAGGTCATTCCTTTTAACATATTTATTAAAAGATTGGGTGGAAGAGGCCTCTATATTGACTATATTACTACGTCTGTAGGCATATTAATCTCCTCTTAGTATCCTCGGAGGGGACCAATATGCCTGCTTATGGTTCGTCTAATCTAGCCTGTTTAGGTAACCGTATTACTAATCACGACACGTGATTAGTACCGGTAACTTCTATTCCTTTTAACAATATTTAATATTTTTATTTTTAAAAATTGATATTAAATCAATTTATTCATTTATTTAACAGTAAAAATAAACATAATTAAATATTAATAATATAGAATTTCTTTTTTTTATTATCGTTAACATTACCATTAATTATCACTATAAACATACTTTTCCATTCGAAAACAACATTAATAACAATACAAACCATCTCAATATCCTCATCCCAACCTAATACTCCCTACCAGAATCAGCACATCTCAATCTCAATCCCCATCCTCTATACCTTCACCTCTTCTCAATTCCTCGATCCCCGGGCCTTACTCACCATCCGCTCAGAAACATTTTATCATAATAGAATCCTTACAATAGATTTGATATAATTATAATCAATTATAAAAAGGATTTCCTGGAATATTTATATGGACGAGAAAACGAGGAAGAAGTGATTATTTGTAAGCTTTTGAACATCCTTATATTATTAGGTAAAGAGTTTTAAAAATGAAAAAGTAAATAGAAAAAGAAAAGTGAGGGGAGGGGAACATAGATCTAAGGTGGTGAATTATTTAAGGTTTCGTGTGTAAAATTATGTAGGGATTAGGGTTAGGATGGAGATGGATGATGTGAATAAGAATGAGGATAAAATTATGATTTATTTATTTAGTTTTTTTTCTATTTTCTCTACAAGTCTAAGTATTCTTAGTCGTTCTCTCTCCATCTTATCCCATGCCTCTCCATTCCCTTCCTTCTCTAAATACAAAACCTTCTTCACACACCCTATTCCTATTCCCTTACCACGCCCTTCTAATCTCCATCCCCATCCCAATATCCACCTCCACCAGATCATCACACCCCTTCCCTTCCCCTCTTCCTTTCCTCCATCCCATATCCTAAATCCCCCTTACCTCTTCTTCAACCCTATTATCCCCTCTTCTTTCCAATTCCCAAAACACCCACATCTCCCTGCCTCATCCCACATCTCCCCTCTCTCCACCCATCCCCAAAACCCAATCCCACCAATCCCACCAACTTTCCAGACCCCAAAACCCAAGCGCATCTCCAAAATCCTAAATCAACATATCATACACCCACCGACCTCCATAAAAAATATATACACATACATCCGAATAAAAACACCTCATCATCATCATCACTCTCAAGACTTAAACCTAAACCTAAACCCTAATCCTAATTCCTAATTCCTAATTCTTAATTCCTAATCTGAATTCCTACAAACCATCACTCCTACCAATCATCACTCCTACCTACCAATCACCACTCCACTTCACTCCATTTCATATCCTTTCATATCATTTCCTTTAGAACCTAAAATGAATAATAAATATAAATTACCATTTTATTCCATTAAATACCTATATCCATCACTGATTTGCTGAATTAGCTGATAAGCCATTGATCAGTCAACATGTGATTCTTATTTGGTAGGTAGTAAAATTATTGAAAAAACGAAAATATACTTATTCCCTCTTCCCTCTCCCTTTCTCCTTCGCTCGCCCTTGCCCTTGCCCTTACGCTCTCCTCTCCCTCACCCTTTCCTCTTCTCTCTCCTTCTACCTCTCCCTCCTTTCTCCATTTTCTCTTCTTTTTCCCTCTTCCTTTCCCCCTCCCTCGCCTTCGCCCCTGCCTCTCCCTCTCCCCTCCTCTCTTTTCGTTTATTTTCTATTCAAAAGCACTCTCCTTTAAAAAAAAATCAATCATATTTTGACTCATCAATTAGCTATCAGCTAATATTTAATCTCGGTGACTGACTGATAATATTCACACAAAATCCAGCTTGCTAGCTTAGCTTATACGCTGACAGTCAGTGTTGTCAATTAATTGGCTGATTGGCCACTCTGCTCCCAAATCCCAAGTCCAAAATTCTACACATCACACATGCTATCACATTGATATAGCCCAACCTTCAAATCATTAACCACGAATCACTCCACAAAACCCCTACATTAAATCCATCTTAGGAAAGAACCTTGGACCCGCAAATCCCTTAGCCACTACACTTTGAATATCAATATTCCCGTCTGATCTCCCATCAGGACTCCAAAGCTTCAACAAGATATATTTCCCACTGATTGGCGTACTGAATTTAATCGTGCATTTACTTTTATCCCTCTCGATAAAGAATTTCGCATGCGGAACCATAAGTTCACCACCAACAGCCGCAACCGCTTCTTGTGTTGCGATTTGTGATGCCTCGGCTGCTTCAGCTAATGTAATATTACTAGCCGTCTCACGTCGACGTAAACTTCCTGGTAAAGATGCCATATAATAATAATGATGTTCATCATCGGAAAGTCTGTAGCCTGTTGGAAAGTCATCTTCCTCACTACTTTCACCTATAAGACGAAGGTCATCATCTGGCATATCCCTTAACCTCATCCTATGAGCTCGATTGTTTCCTCGAGGCTGATCTTCATTATCAGAAAAGTCACTACTACATTCCATAGTGACTTGATAAGGTGACGTAATGTTGGTGAAATCCGACGGAATCTGAGCAGTGGGTGCAATATATGGAGTGTTTAAATCGCATTCAGGATCTTGAGCACCTAATGCAACCAGGCGACCAGCACGAGCTTGAGCTGTTGTCATAGTCCTAGTACCATCATCATTATGACGAATAGACATTATTGGCGGTCGCTCTGAACTCCCGGTAGGTGAGGAATACTGAATTTGATACTGTGCAGTACGAGTTAAGAGGTCGTTTGATGTTCCAGAGATGAACACCATTCCTTCTTGGACTCTTAAAATCAATTAGTATTGTCCGGGACAAAAAAAAGTGAAATCAATACTAACGGAGCTGTATATCCTTTATGGGGTGCCTTGATAACCAGTTCTGTGAGAGAAAAAGTGGTTTCTCCTTGATGCTTCAAGACAATATTGCAACGATTACTTTTAGTGCAATAGACCGTATTATCATCTTTCAAAACATTGTCCGATCCGTATTCTCCTTCTGGGAAACTTTGAAATAATCCCCCATCGCAACTAACAATCTCCATCTGTAGAGTACCTGGTTCGACTTGACCATACCTCCCATACTTAAAACCCTGCCAAGGTTCCTCTTTATTGTCTTGATCTAATTTTCTCCTCTTGACCCTACGATTATTTTCCCCCTCGGCGACATATTCTGGCGAGGAGAACCTGGATCCGATAGGAGTCTCTAACAAAGTTCGAAGGTTCAAGCTTGCGGATTCTAATTGTCTTAAATCTTCTGGTACAGAGCTGAGGGAACTACCTTCATTTAAAGCTCGCTGTGGTTCCATATATCGATCAGATTGTAAAAGGCGAGGTCTTCGACGACTTATCGTTGGTTGAGGAGGAGGTCTAGATTCTCGTCGTCTTATTTCAGCGCGTCGTAAATTTTCCCATTGATTTTCGTCAAGTTCCCCTGGGGCTGTAAGCGTCGTGGTTTGTCTCTGTGGGCGTCTTCCTTCTATCCTGCGCTGTCTCTCGGCCCTACGTAAAGTCTCGATCCTACGTTCGGACGATGACATATTTCTAGTTTCCGGATTATTAAGAAGTTGGGCTTGTGTTCCTGCTCGTCTTGCTTCGGTGTATCGACTTATGGCTCTGTAGAGTTCACCCGAGGGGCTGATTGTGGTGTTTGAATTAGGACCTCTCTCTAGAATATCTTGTACTAATCTTTCGGCGGTTTCGATAGGAGATTCTGAGGCTGGATGACTTGGTGGGTCATCAAAGTTTCCCGACTTAAAGTAAGATTGATTAGTGGGACAGATCATATGTCGATTATGAGGAACGTGGAGTCACCATTGAAAAGAGTCGCCTGGACATAGAAGATTGAATTGAAATTTATAGGCCAGTCGAAAGCGAATATGGGGAATAGGTATGAACCTTCTTGAGTGGATTGATAAAGGATGTGGAGAGATTTTATTCGTGTAATGAGACGGTTCCTTTTTTGTATTAAGGTTCGATGATTTGATTGTGGCTCGTCGAATTTGAATGAATGTTGCTTGAATCCTCGAGTGGGCTCTTGGATATTTGATGGATAAACTGAGTTAGGTTGGATTGTACTGCAGTAAGAACATAGATATGTTTCGTTGACCCCTTGAAGTAAGGTAGGTATAGAGTAAAGAGGAAAAGATGGTGGGAGATAGATGGTGAATGGTGATGGTAAATGGTAAATAGTGGATGGTGGATAGTGGGTGACTGATTTGAGCGGAGCGGCTGTGGTTGATCGAGAATTCCGATGGGCTTTGTGGGGTTTCTGGAATAATCAAGGCTGACTAGTACGAGAAGAGTCAAGATTGGATATTTAGATACCGTAATCACAGTTAGATACAACAGACTCATTAGAGTATGTCATCCTCATTGGACAAAGAACTGCTCATCTGAATTACTTTAATTCAGCTGTGAAGCCAAAATTGCTACTATCAA